ACGTTATAAGTAAACACGGCATACAAACGTGTTCAGAGAAGGTCGATGCTATTGTGAATACACCCGCACCGACTACCGTATCTGAACTTAGGTCTTTTATAGGAATGGTTATGTACTACGCGAAGTTCATAAAAAATGTTAGTACGATTTTAGCGCCACTATATGAACTGCTTAGAGCCAATGTTAAGTTTGTGTGGACCAAGGAATGTGAAACGTCTTTTATGTACATTAAGAAGCAATTAAGCTCCAGTGAGGTTTTAGTCCATTACTCCCCATATTTACCTCTCGTGTTGACGGCAGACGCGAGCAGCGTCGGGATAGGTGCCATCATATCGCACGTAACGCCCGACGGAGAGAGACCTATCGCATATGCATCGCGGTCTCTCGCACCCGCGGAGCGAGCCTATGCCCAGATTGATCGGGAAGCATTGGGTATTATTTATGGAATAAGAAAATTCCACCAATACTTATACGGTCGACAATTCACGTTAAGAACGGATCATAAGCCATTAACATATATTTTTGGTAATAAATCAGGTATACCGACTATGGCGGCATCGCGTTTGCAAAGGTGGGCGGTATTGTTATCTGGTTATAGTTACGAGATCGAACATGTTTCATCCCATAAAAACTGCGCGGACGCCATATCACGGTTGCCGCAAACCGGTTCCGTCGGTACTGTAGGTAAAGAGACTACGTACATTCATTTTGTAGAACAATTCCTGCCCGTGACTAATGATAATGTGCGGTTAGCTACTTCTAAAGATTCTCTTTTGAGCCGCGTTATATTCTACGTTCAATCTGGTTGGCCACATACATGTACAGAGGAGTTAAAGCCATATTTTAATAAACGGAACGAACTGTATATAGATCGAGGATGTTTAATGTGGGGTTATAGATTAATTATTCGAACGGCCTTGCGAAATACCGTTTTAAATCAACTCCATGCAAGTCATATGGGTATTGTAAAAACCAAGTCGTTGGCTAGGAGTTATGTATGGTGGCCGGGAGTGGACAGTGATGTGGAAGCGGTGTGCCGGCAATGCGACACTTGCGCGGCAGAGGCGGAGGCGCCGCCGCGCGCGCCCCCGCGGCCCTGGCCATATGATGTGCGCCCGTGGAGTAGACTCCATATTGATTTCCTAGGCCCTATGAATGGCAAAACGTTTATGGTTTTAATAGATTCCAGTTCTAAATGGCTAGAAGTTTTCGATATGCCTAGGACAAATGCATCGTTCGTAATTAAAGCTCTTAGAGCTACATTTGCTCGTTTTGGGCTGCCAACCGAAATAGTATCCGATCAGGGCCCGCCATTTACGAGTGCAGAGTTTAGGGACTTTCTAAAAAAGAACGGTATTCGGCAATCATTCTCTCCGGTGTACCATCCAGCGTCGAACTGGGCCGCGGAAAACGCCGTGAAACTTTGTAAACGATTTATTAAAAAGGCCATGAGGGAGTCTACCGACGTCGACGCAGCCCTACAAACATTCTTGTTATCTTACAGAAATAGCGTCCACAGTAGTACCGGAGAAAGTCCCGCAATGCTACTGCAGCGACGGTCTCTGCGGTCTCGATTAGATCTCTTGCGCAGCGAGCGCGCCCGCGAGGACTGCGTTCTCGACGCGCAGTCGCGACAGGTGGCTCATGCAGGGGGTGTGCTGCGAACGCTCGCACCCGGGGACCAAGTAGCCGCTAGAAGCTACGGCGGCTCCGACAAATGGCTGAATGGTACGGTAGTCAATAGTGAGGGCTCTCGGAGATACATTTTAGAAAGCGGTGACGGTCGACTTTTAAGTAGACATATCGATCAGATTAGGCGCAAATCTCGGTTGTCCGGTGTACCATGTCCTAAAGATGTCATTCAAAATAATGATAAGAAAGATATTGGAGCTCCGTCGCTGGACGGCGTGGGTGAGGAGGTTGCTAATGAGGGTGGAAGAGAGCACGAGACTGTGAGCGAAGGGCGTGTGGTTGACGCTCGGTTAGACGATTCTGGCTCTTCGTGCTCCTCTCTACCCTCGACGCCCGAGTCTCCGGAGACCCGTCCCAAGCGGGTGATTAAGCCAGTGTTAAGATACGGCATAAATTATTAGTTTAGGATAAGTTTACATTTTGTTAAAATTAAGGGTTGTGTACTGATTTATATGGTTGTCAAATGTACAACAAGCTTAAACTATATTTAAAGTAAGTATTACAGAATGTGTCGTGTATGTAACGTATGTATTGTATACCTAAATTATATACTTTGTAATTTTTTATGTTATGTTTCTTATAATGTATGTAGTGATTTAAGTGGGGAGGTGTGATGTATGTATTGGAGAGTAAGATTATTATAAATGCTATGTGGGTAGGTCATGTATTTTGTTGCTCAGTCGTCAAATAAATATCGTAGTGCGAACACATGTTTTACTGGCTCCTTAACCCAGGTTTTACGTATAGGCTAGATAGTCTAGACTTCTCAATTACAAATATAAATATCTCTACAAATTATAGCTAATAACTATTTTCTTATAACGTAAAATTAAATAACATTTAAGTATTTATTATTTACGACCTATTCTTTATTAATCTCTTTTATTAATTCTTTATTATTTATTAATCTATTTAATGACTAGGAAAATGGCACTTAACTTTCATTAAATATTTCGTCTAATTTATAAAATGCGCTATTAAAAAGATACTTTTTCAGATGGGCGGTAAATGTCGATAATTTTTCTTGGTTTTTTATCTCATTTGGTATGCTATTATAAATTTAAATTGCCATTGAGTGTGGGCCGGATTTGTACAGACTTCATAATAATAATAATGACGCAATAACGTACACACTCTTAGCCCCGCACAAGGAAACTCTGTATCGCGGGTGCCATGGCCATAAACATGGACAACAACAAATTACACCCAAACTCACAAAAGAAATAAATGTAGGCCATAATACAAAATTCAAAAATTTCGGCCGATCCGGGAATCGAACCCGGAACCTTCGCGTGGCAGTCCAGCATGATATTCGTTCGATCACAGACGCAGTTAAAAATAAAAAAATAAAAAATTTATAAATAAGTATTACGCCAATTTCTGTTTCGTTTTTGTTTCGTTTATTAAGCACATTATATATATAGACATATATATATATACATATATATATAGAATTTTTCGTAATTTATTTAATGCCATATAAATATTATTATCAAGTAATCTTAACCTTTTGTCTTTATGAGAAAGTACTTTTAAGTACTGGCAGTTGTTTTTTTTTATACTCTATAAAGCTCTCTAGGATATAAATTTGTTTGTATCTAATCGGCTGACGTTAGTCGTTCTTCTATAAGCTAGCTATAATCTTATTAAGATTACGTTTGACACACTCGTTTTGAGATCATAAAATAAAAAGATGAATTTGTCATAACTATTATAACCACTTGTGTTTTATTTATTTCAGATGGTAGACCCAACACGTATACATACACTAAGGCATTAACGGAAAATTTGATTGCTAACGAAATCGGTGCAATTCCTGCTGTCATAGTACGACCTTCAATAAGTATGTCTTTGATATAATTTATATGCCCTTTTATTCGTAGTATCATTTGTGTTTTTTTATGCTCTTCATTAAGGTATTCAGAGACGATTTTAGCCAATCATTTTCTACAGCTAACCAGCCATTTGTAGAAGGCTACACCTCATAATCTACAAGAGACTCCTACTTATAGTGGTCATCTTTTTTACTGATAATAAAAATGAAGACCACTAGGTAGAAGAATAGATAGAAGATGTAGCTATGTAAGTATGCCAGACCAATTACCATTGACCACTACGGTCACCACTACGGGGTGCGTGAAAAGAGCCACTCCGCAATTATGCACGAATCACATTCCTAGTTCATCTCAAAATCAACGAATACCTTACGCCGACAAACAAATCCTTTCACCACGATGGCAAACATTTCCCATGCACAAACCAGAATTATAACAATAATAATAATAATAACGCACACACTCATAGCCCCGCACGGACTTCCTGAAGTTGTTGCCTACTGGCAACTCTACACATGTAACATGCGCGCCATTCAAGACACGACGTTGCGAACCCCGACGCGTATTACACATACTACATGTACAAATAATAAAAATATAAAGATTTTATTCATCAACACTACAACGATACACAAATAACTTAAAATAGCGGCTTAAAATAATTGGCTGTATTAAAGAAATGGTAACAGCCTCAGCAATTTGCTGGTTTTTCAGGTTTCACCTTGTATATAATGCAAAACTACAAGTGAAGTATATTTATCGCTGTAGACACCGCACTTGCAGTTTCTAATTAAATATATAATTAAGAAAGCACCTCACTCACTGCAATTATACACTATTATACATATATGAATTCCAATTAAAATTTTTATACCAAACTACAAATGATACACGCACCGACCATGCAGCAATAAGAGTAAAAAGTTTTACTACATGCCTAGAATAGAATAGGCAGAGAATAAAATTTAATTGAATATTATTAATTATAATTATACTTTTATTTATTCTATTAACCTAGCGGAACCTACATTACCTTTAACCAACAGCACGAACTCTTCTGTAGTTCCAGCAGCCATTGTTTATACATATATTTGAATGTGTATAACAATACATACAATGATATGGTGGTATAACCGTGGTTTATTCTATTTACAGTATTAGGAGCAGAATCTGAGCCTATTCCCGGATGGATCAATGGCTGGAAGGGCTTGAACAACATTTTAGGCAGACAATCCATAGGCCAGCTTCATTGCTGGAAGGCCGATCGTAACGCAGTAGTCGACGTAATTCCCGTCGACTACGTCGCTAATCTTACAATAGCTGTTGCATGGGACGTTCATAGGAGACGGTAAGATGACCTTATGATTATTACTTACTACTTTGCTCCAATAAGATCCCTCGATAAAGACGTTGACGCCGACAGAAAAGAAATTACGAAGTATTGCTCCGATACAAATCGCTTTACCTAATTTGTTTAGCAACGTCCATGAAAAAGAGGTGAAAGTGTTCAACTGCTGTTCAGGTACGAGAAACCCTATTCAAGTCGGGGACTTGCTTGAGATGAATATGAAGTATAGCAAAAAACATGTCAAACGTAAGTTCATCACTTTATAATATTTATTTTATTGAATGTTATGATATTTCTACTACCATGATATTCATGATCATGGCAAAAAAGCCGTCAAAGCCAGTACGAAAATCTGCAACAAGAACATAAAGAAATTCGTAAGATCTGCTGGTCAGTCTGTAGCTCAGTTGATAAGAGCGGCGCTGGTACGAGTACAGTCAGATAGAAAGAATTTCTCTTTGTATTGTTCCACCTTTTTCTTAATAATAATATATCACATTATTTCATCAAATATCAACCAAGGACGTATTCAAGATGACACGAATCACGTACTAAGATTATTTAAATTAAAAATAGCGCTATAACCTGAGCTTCGACGAAATAAAATAAAATTCCAATAATTATTAATACTACGATCGAACATTATCATCATCATCATCATCAACCCATTTATATGTCCCACTGCTGGGCACGGGTCTCCTTTCAGACGAGGTTTTAGGCGATAGTCCGCCACACTGGCCCAATGCAAGTTGGGGACTACAAACGTTTTTCGAAGGTTGTGAACCTTCTTCAACGTATAGCTTTCATCACGATGTTTTCCTTTACCGAAAAGCTCATGATAAATTTCAAATTACATTTCGCACATGAATTCCGAGAAACTCAGAGGTATGAGCCCGGATTCGAACCCACGACTCTCTGCTTGAGAGACAGTAGGTCAAACCATTAGGCTACCACGGCTTCAGATCGAACAACTAGAAAAAATTCCTTCGATCCGGCTGGATTCGAACCAACGTCTTCCTGCAAACCGTGCCAAACGCTATGCCAATTAAGCCATGGAACGAACTAGTGGATCTTACGAATTCTTTTATGTGCTTGTTTCTTGCTTGATCTTTGTTTTTGGTTTCTAGCGACTTTTTGTCGTAGCGTGAGATCTGTGAGAAATCTATTTCTTCACTCAACTAGGTACCTTTATAGCTACCAGTAGCTGACTAGAGACGTCGCTTTGATAATTGTAATTTTTAAGTTTATTGCATGTCACGATGTTTGACCACCATGATATTTATAAACTAATTGAATATCATGGTAGTCAAACATCGTGATAAACTTAAAAATTAAAATATCAATGTGAATAAACCAGGGGGCCTGCCATAACCTTTCCAAAAACAATCTTATTTCAGTGTAAGCTTAAAGTAAGCTTATTATAATATTACTCATATTCGTACCATGACGAAACTGCCATACAAGTAATGTATTATTGCAAAAGTGATTGAAAGAATGATTTCCCAATATTGTCTATTCCTTACTAAAAATAGGAAAGAGATAACTCTATGTGAACTATATAGTGCCATGTCTTTCTTATTTGATGTTCCGAATCGTCTTATCGTAGTATAAATGTACTTAATGTTATTTACATTCAGAGAATTTTGACTGTTAAAAAACGAATAGTATGTAATAATAAAATCTATTAAAATAACGTTGTTTTCAATAATTTTTCCGCATTTCCATGAAGAAAAATAGCAAAATAAGCTGAGTCCCGATAGTCACGTTGTGAATTCGGAATTGTAGTCTAGTGTCAACTGTTAGTTTCACCAAGGAGCATATAAATAGCGCTGTCATAATTTTACGAAATAAACATTGCGTATTTCTATTTAACGAGAAATTATTTCTATTTAACGAGAAATTATTTCCTATGTGCTATTTAATAAAAAATAAACAACATATTGAAGAGATGTATGTAAATAAATAAGTTTACTTAACTTTTAATCATTACAAATCAGTATTAAGACAATAAAACTGAAAATAATATTGTTTCCATTGCATCCGTGTAACTATTATAAGATTGCTAAACTTGACATAACAGCAATATTACTTTAATGTTACAGTCACGTCATTGCACAAACTGCGTGAATGAATAGTCACACAGCTGCCAATAAAACATCATAGTTTTAACATTATAATTAGCTTACTATAATTTATGGTACGAACACTCAATGTAAGGTTAAAGTAATATTATTTTGAGAGGTTGTGGTAGGCCCCCTGATACGACGTCTTCTGGCACGGTATGCTAGAAGACGTCGGTTCGAATACGGCCGGATCGAAGGATTTTCTCTGAGTGTTCGATCTTTGTATTAATAATTATAACAAACTAGTGGAGTAATTTTACAAAAAATAATAGAATATTAATTCAATAAAAAATTAAAAAGTTCTTTATTATTGTTGGAAAAAACTTGTTGTTTTTTGCTACTACGAACTAACATCTGCAGCGAAATACAGGACAATGTTATATACACAACCTACATATATCAACTTTATAACCCCAGCTTCTACAGGCTGTACTCAATTAGTTTTTTTGATGCTTTGATTATGAATCACAAGTATTGATAGGTATTCTTAATGCACGTCGTCAAAAACACTGGGTCACATAATGCACTGGATGTCGCCATCCTTCTTTAAATAAATTGAGAGTTTTGCCATCTCCTGAATAATCACTCTTTATAAGATACGAGTTTGAGAAAGTAATTCATCGATTTTTATTTGAAGGTTAATTTAATCAGGATAGTTGTTAGCAATGGGATAGTTCAGCTGTTTAAAAGACATCAGTTAACAGCTGCACTATAGAGGTATATACTACAATCGAGGAAAAAGACCTCTTTTCCTGGGGCTCTCAGTCATAAAGTGGATGTTATTTTACCTGCCCTTATCCGATCGACTTGAAATTTTGTTATACTATGGAAACCCAATGACATTACAACGATAATCTAATGCTGCAACCAGTCTGCAAACTATCGAACTCCTTTGGTCTTGACGAGTTGTTGGCTTACAGGGGGTGACTTTATTGACTTTTTGGAGTACGTTGTTTGGAGTCAGAGTTTAAAAAAAATCTATTACTTACACTAAAAAATCCAGAACTATTTCGCGGTTTTTTTTACGCGAGGCGCTATTTTGTCAGCTTCATATAAAATATCTAACAATATATTAAGCATGTATTGTGTAAAGCATGGAAAGTAATTTTCATTAATATTTTCAGAGGACGTCTTGATCAGGCCATTTTTCCTAATCGTAAAGAACTACATTGTATTTTGGATTATATTTTTTTTAGTACATACGATTCCCATGTACTTGAATCATATTGTCGATTGTGTGACAAAAACCAAACGTGGCACAAGGTATGTAGTTTATATTAATTAGATTATGGTTGAATATTTTATAAAAGCAAGATATTTCTTACAAATTAATGAAAGACCATGAAAAGTAGAAATGGCCTCGCGGTACAGTTGCGTCAACAATATGTAAATGTTATTTATTCAACGCAAACATATTTTATGTGTCTTAACCAATGGTCCTAACCAACGATATATTATGTTTACTAACGATCTAGATGCGACGTTCCATACACACGCTGTTTCACTGATGTGCAGTGAAATCACTACACTTCAATATCTTAGATTAATAAGCAAAAGAGTATGCTGACAACACAATTAGAAAGTAGGGATAATATGTATAAAATAGTTACTATGGTTACCATATTATATCAATTTAAAAAATATAAAAAAGACTAGGCTGCATGGTCTAAAGATCTTTATCTTTCCGCAAACAAAAGGTCAATGTCATAACATCAGTAATATCAACAACTTTACTGTATTTTCTCTTTTACTTAATGTGTTTTTCTTTTAAGTAGCCTAATAATAATAAATAGTAAGCGGAAAGCCCCTAGGTCGAAGCAAAATGAAATGTATTATGCAACTATTAGGGACTTTGCCAGGAGCTTTACGTCAATTCCCCAACTATGGATCAATATCATTGATAAACACTGAATATTATCTGCCTGCCCAGCCCATTTAAATATAGGGATAAACTGTCACGTCTGTCCACGGTACTACGGTACTGATACTCTTTGACAAAATTGAACACTAAAAGAAAACACTCTCACTATTGATAGTGTGTTGTTGGGAACATTTAGTTGCTGTGAATTTCTTGTCTATAGATTGAAGTCGTTGGTCATAACAAATTTAGCCACAAAATGAAATATGAAAAGTGTCATACCGACAAGGGCATTGTCTCTTAGCTAGAGGCAACGCGTTCATTACATCGTAATTAGTTCATGTACTATGAACAAAGCTTATTCAAATATACATTAAGGTTACAAAAGGTTTTTTGTTTTGATAATGTATTCAATTTCCTTTCAGCATGATTGAAATGCACCGCAAGCTATACAACCTTGTATTTGCGCTTGGATTCTTCGCCCTTAACCAGTTTATATTCATAGATCGCAACGTCAAAGACTTGTACAGCACAATGAATAAAAGCGACCAAAAGATGTTCAACTTTGACGTGGAAAACATAAAATGGGACTGTTACTTTGAAAATGCTGTGTTGGGGCTTAAAAAAAATCTTCTAGACCGAACTCCAGTTCAAAAAATATCTTCCTGATACTTTTAAAAAAGCATTAACACAAATGCTTTTTGAAAATTATCACTACGGTATTTTTACACAATATTTATATTTTATTTATGAAATATATATAAATTATATATATTTATTATGTACCTTATTTATTTGTATTCTTAGCATATTACATTATTACAAAATAATAATATAATATACAAAAATATACATCTTATGTCTGTCTCTCAGAATGTAAGCGTAATGGTGAATGTTACGTGTTAAAATACGACAAACTTAGAACTTTATGTAGAAATAAACTATAGTAAGTACTCTTAAGTTTGCATTTTCTTAGGGTGCGTGCAGATCTGGCGAATGCGCTGCTTGCGCGCTGCTCACGCGCTGCACGCGTGCAATGAAGTGCGCCTGTAATGACATCTCATAATGCGCTCGAGCGGAACGCAAACTGTGGGGTGATTCACGTAATTAAACCGTTACGATATCGTAGCGATTTAGTCGTTAAACTACTTTTTCGTATTCACGTGTGACAGCGAAGTCAACGAGTCCAATTTTAAAGTCGTTCGATCCAAATGTCGTTAAGGCGTATTCTGGTATATGAATCGAACTTAAAACGCCCTAAACGACAAGTCATACGTATTCTGCCAAAACTTTGACATTTCTTTCAATAGACTTTCGACGACCAAATGCCAACTTTCACAATCCAAGATGTCGTTCATTAGTCCTCACGTTTCGATTCTACTCGTTCAAGTGATACGTGAATACCCATTTTGGACATGACTTCGATCGAACGACTACGTAACTTCAACGATATTTTAATAACTTGAACTTACGCGAATCGCACTACAGATCGCACTACGTAATGCTAGTGTGCAGTTCGCGATTCTTTCGCAAAAAGTCGCATTCGCCAGATCTGTACGCACCCTTTGCATTCCTGATTTTATAAATAAATTTTAAATAGTGTAGCCAATAACTACTAAGTAATCTGTGGTATAGCTAACATTAGGCACAAAACAAAAAAAGAACCTATTTCAATTATTTCTTTTACAAATATTTATTTCAATGGCACAAAATGTATACAATCTACGTAAAGCAACATAAACTAAATCTAGTTTTAAATACAGAAACAATACAATTTTAGATGAGCTTTGTCAACACACCAGCTTTGATTTCCATATAAATTGAGACGACTCGCTGTACCTTTCAATGACCAATTGCCATTTGTATTTCTCAGTGTAGCTTCGAATACTCCGTCGCCCGGTTCAGTTTTTACAACAACTAAATATTCTGTCCAATCTTTGTCTGTTTTATCTTTTGTAACGGTAACCATTTTTGAAGCACTTAAAATATCGACTTGTGATAAATTTGCACAACGTGGATGATCCTTCAAAGAATGATTAATTTGCGATACCAATTGATTAGCGGCCTCTTTCACTTTTGGTTTCAACGGAGAAATTTGTTTACTGATATGACAAGAACACCAATGATCCGATATTCCAGCCGCTTTACATGTGCGATTTGTTGGTACGGGCAGAAATAAGCTAATACCTCTTTCTGTCGCATATGACTCTTTTGTTCGTAATGCAATCTTTTTATCCTTAATTTTATCTAAATCAATAAGATCTAACAATGTTTCATGCATATCAAATGGGGTAGCAAGACGCCGACTATTAATCATCAAGTTCGTAAAGGCATCTCGATAAGTATTCTTAAATGAAGGTGGCGTTAATATAAATACGAAAGGTAAAAGTTCCTCTAATCTTCCTTGTTTCGTTGATCGTATTGAACCCCATCGCATTCCATGATCGCTCATTACAATAAATATCGATTTATCTAAATATTTATTTACTTCCAGTCTCTTTAAAAACTCTAAGTAATTATCATCCATAATCATTGGATAGTTTAAATAATCATGGCTCATAGTGATTTCCCAGAAGAAAGCGAACATTTTAGAATGGTTTAGTGTGACTGTTAAACGTTCAACGTAATCCAAAAGAACCTTGTATGAATATTTATCGCTCATACATACCTTTGAATTAAGTTGTTTATTAGTACCAACTTTCTTCTCAGCCTCATACAAGAATGGGTGCATGTAATAGTCGGTAGGTATTCTCACAAAGCCATCGCTAAGATAATTAAATGTCCCAAGGGAGGAGATGTCTTCACCAAATGCTGTATAATAACCAGCCTCTTTATACCAATGCCAAAGAAATGGACATTCATCAAATGGAACGTGATCGAACGGCTGACAAATCTGTTTAACTTCTACCGCATTGTGGCCTAATAGTAAGGCTACTAGATTTGGGTATGAGTTGTCACCTACTTTATTATAACCCATTAGCTCTATAGCACCGTTGTCTAAAAGATAGTGTAGAGTTTTAGGCATGGTACGATGAAAATTCATTCTTGACACGTTATCAATTCCTAAAATTATAACATTGTAAGCGGACTTATTTTCAGGGATTTCTACTGCTTTATCGTGCAAGATAATTTTTTTTTTAGGTGCGAATATATAATACTGTTTGTACACTGTTTTTTCACCATAAAAACACTCGACTGCAACAAACTCATCACTGAGAACTTTTATTACATCGGAAAATCTGACACATTTGTTGTAAACTATCCGGTCATCGATATTATGCGAGTATACATCTTTAACGGCTTTTGGTCGGTAAAATGATTTGTAGCAACAAGTAAGATGTTCTTGATTGTTTATTTTGTAATGTAATAGGGTTTCGTTATTTTTGTTTATCCATAAGTGAGTATAATTATGTTCAGTTAGAGGATAATTAGAATTAGGACACGGTGGTAATTCTTTGGGATATTTAACAAACTCAATAATGGATTCATCTAGAGGTTTCATGACAGGTATAATACATCCCTCGGTATTGATATCAAAAAACTCGTCATTATCAACAATACGCTGATTAAATATGGACTCTTTTCTGTAGTATGTGATGTCACTTGTGTAGTTGTTGAGAAAAAAGAGGAAGAAACTGCCTCCAAAAATAAGAGTTACTAAGAGAAGATACCGTGAGCGATTCGCGATCCGTGGAGAAATCAGATCATCTTCCTCTTGGTTACTTAAGCGCGTGTATTCCATCTTGTAATATCTATTTAAGTTTACCTTTATAATCACTTTATGACCATAGCCATTGGCACACGTCCTATCTATATCAGAAAGACATGAACACTCTCACGGTACTATTAATACTGAATTGTAGTCGTTTTCTTTAATGATTACTTCTCGGAGTATGGAAATCGGAAATTTCATGGGTATACATAAATACGTCCAATCGACCACGCTATTACGCCACTGTTTAGCCATCCTTCTATTAGCAACTGCTGTTTCTACAGAGTATTCAAAGTTGGGTCAATGTGACCTTGTTATAACTTCAAGCACTTTTAAAATTTATTGGTTGCGCCGAGTAAATAACGAGACTGTAACCCAATTCCAATTCACAATATAGTTTTTAGTTAATATTCATTTTCTTCAGCTATTCTTGTATTAGTCATTCGGGTATGTTTTGCACTAAACTCTTCTGTAACTAGAAAGTCTTCGTTAATTATTACGTTTGCAGGACGCTAATACATAGCCAGAGCTCTATTAACTATTGGACGTCGAATAGAAATTTTAACGGTCCTTTTAACAAGCGATCATAAATTGATTTTAAATTGCGTACTACCGTTAAGAAATGGTACAAATTGCATACAATCGTAATATGTTGCTACGATACATTAAAACGTAATCCGATATACAAGATTGGATATTTCTTTTAATTCACTGAAAACCATGTAGGAGTAAGCATAAAGATATTGTAAAAAACAAAAAAAAAGGTGAAGAGTGTGTCGGACACGTCGATAATAGGGTTTGGTAGCCGCTACATCATTTGACTAAGTGGCATCTTTATAATATTTGCTTATGCATATTAAAACCTGCTTTTGTGTGAATGTCTCCTAAGTATTTGTTTCTTTTTATTTATTCATTTAAATCTGGCAATATGACTCATATAATATATACCTTAAGAACTAATATACATATTATAATATAATATCCCGCTCGACCCTCTGGATGTATTTGGTTTTTAGTCTGATGTATTGCACTATTTCCTCACACTTCGTGGAGTAATGCAGTCGCGACAGGTACAGGGTCAAGAGCATGTCAAGCTTGATACTTAAGACTTAAATCCAACCTTATGCCGCTTACGATAAGAACGGTCTAAAGTACAAAGCGTCAAGCTTGATGTGCTCTTGACTGTACAGCAGCGTCGTCATATGGCGACGATTTATAATGGTACAGTCGAGAGCATATCAAACTTCACACTTTGGAGTTTGGACTTTTGTTATCGTAAACGTATGGTGTTGAGTTTAAACTTTGCCAAACATGAAGTGATGAAGATCCTGTACAGAGTATAATTTGTATTGAAAATGATTTGATGAAGCTGTATTTACAAGTTATATTCCGATTTCGTTTTTTTTGCAATGATATTTAAAAGAATATTGGATTAATAATATACACCAATTTCACCCCAATTTGTGTAAAAAAGTGCAGACAGACAACAAAAAGTTCCTTGTTCTTGATTGTGGAACCCTAACAGTGGTTGCACACGGTGACGTTTATCAGCGATGCAAACGCGCGTACACTTGCGATTTATAGGCGATTGCATCGATGCAAACGCAGGACTGCATCGATACAAACGCGCGAGTGCATCGATACAAACGCGCGACTGCATCAACACAAACGCGCGATTTGCATCGCTGCTTAAAATCGCGTTCGTGTGTAAAGGTAGACGATTAGCGACTGCATCGCTTTTGCATTTATCGCTGCTGAAAGTAATAACGCACACACGCACACACTCAAGATAGCCCCGCACTAGGGAAACCCTGTGTCGCGGGTGCCATGGACACACACATAGACAACCACAAATTACACACATAGACAACCACAAATTACACCCAAACTCACGAGAGAAATAAATGTAGGCCATACAAATATTTCTCCCGGCCCGGGAATCGAACCAGGGGACCTCTGCGTGGCAGTCCGGTATGGTAACCGTTCGGCCACGGAGGCAGTTAAGTCACCGTGAGTAACCGCTCTAAAAAGGACAATTATCCAATATACCGGTGAAACACCGAAAAGTTTAACAAAATGAGAATTATACTAATTACAGTACACAAACACTCCTCTCTTTTATACTTATATTTTATTATTATCATCGAAGGAACAGCTTTCCCCTGTTTTGCAAATTAAAATTTTCGACAAGGACTTTTGGAAATGACGTTTAGTAACAGTTTTTGATCAATCAAAGATTTTAAATCTTCATTGAATTGAAATTCAATTATTTTTTGTTAAATTATACCACTAGTTTGTTATAATTATTAACACAAAGAACACTTAGAAAAAATTCCTTCGATCCGGCCGGATTCGAATCGACGTCTTCTAGCTTACCATGCCAGACGCTATGCCAACTAAGCTACGGAACGAACCAGCGGACCTCACGAATTTTTCTATGTGCTTGCGTTGTGTCGTTTGTATTTGGTTTTTTCAACGACTTTTTAGTCGTAGCGCCATCTATGAGAAATCTATGAAAGTTTCATCACCCAATTAGATATCTTTACAGTTACCAGCCCTGGCGAGAGATGTCGCTATTCACTGTATTTTAAATTTTTATTGAATTGATATTCAATTATTTTTTGTGAAATTATTCCACTAGTTTGTTATAATTATTAATACAAAGATCGAACACTCAGAAAAAATTCCTTCGATCCGAAATTTCACTTACGGCTTACTTGGTCTAGCATCTGGCACGGTAAGCTAGAAGACGTCGGTTCGAATCCGGCCGGAACGAAGGAATTTTTTCTGAGTGTTCGATCTTTGTATTAATAATTACAACAATCAAACATTGTTTAAGCTTCGAGGTCGAATTATGTGTTCGGGCGTGTATTGTTATTAACCTGTACAATATCATCATCATCGACCCATTTATACGTGCCACTCCATGGCACGGGCCTCCTCTCAGGCGAGAGTTTAGGCCAGAGTCCGCTATATACTGGCCTAATGCGGGTTTTCACACGTTTTCCGAGGGCTATGAACATTCTTCGATGTGCAGGTTTCATCATGATGTTTTCCTACACCGAAAAGCTCATGGTAAATTTCAAATTAATATTTCGCATATAAATTCCAAGAAACTCAGAAGTGCGAGCCCGGATTCGAACCTACGGCCTCTACTTACGAGGCGGCAAGTCAAGCCATTGGCTACCACGGCTGTACAATATAAGGTAATAATATAATTAATAAACAAATCACTTTTTTAAATAGGAACAAAGCAATTGACATACAACTTTCCTAGGATTTTTGTAATGTCCCTTCCAGTACCCAGTTACTACCCAAGAGTCTTTTGTTTTTTTTGTTTTTTATAACATCAAGTGACGGGACGAACAAGTCATGCGCCTGATGGTAAGCTACACGCCTGTCCATAACACTTACCGTGTCACTCAGAGCTTTAAATCGCAAAGATCTGAGGGGCACTACCACTGCGCCAGCCACCCTGAGACATAAGTTGACAAGTCCCATGTGCCTATAATTTTATCAGCACCCTTACCTTTCAAAACCGGAGCACAGTAATGCTGATATTACTGCTTGTTGGCAGAAATAGGCGATACTACTCTGGACGAACTCTTTCACGAGGAGCTTGACTGCTACTCTTATAAGCAGCAGAATCAATTGCCGTTATAAAATCAAAAAGTCAAAATTTTGTATAATTGACATGTCATCACTCTAAACGACGATTTCGGTAGCTCAACATATTTGACTGTGACACTGGATGAGGGGGTTCTGAGTTCGATCCCAAAATTATCTTTGTTTCCGTTGAAACTATACCGAGTCTGTTAGCATTCCTTACTATTCCTTGTAGAGTTTTCAGTCTTTAAATGCCCTGTATCCCAGGGATTTAGCCAATACCACTTCATAATCATTATCATTCCCTAGAATAATGATGATCATGAAATGGGATTGGTTAATTGTGGCTTGTCGCTAGAGTCTTGACCACATTATAGTTGCTCACCTTGACGTTTTTCTTTATTTGTTCACTGTACGCTATTGTCGTTGTTCCTCTCCTTCTTTTCCCTTGTAACTTCCTTGCCCTTAATTATAACTTTTATTAATTCAACACTACGCAGTAGGATGTCTAAACGTTTTCCCTTCTGTTTTCTATTGTCATTTAAAAAAATGTCTCTTCCCCTTTTCAACCCAAGGCGACTTCTCACGGCCCGTGAGTTCACGGGTTGCGATGGACAGCACACTTCTCACGTCGTGGCGCGGCAACTACGGCCCGTGGGAAGCCGACATTACACGGACTTCATTATTTATTATTACTAATTGGCATAAGTCTAATGTAATAGGCTCTTATTGTTTAACATTATAATTGATGACATAACACATTAAGGTGCAATCATAGCGCAATCTATATAGGTACTCATAAAGACAACAAGGCCGGCTCACGAGTGAGGAGAGATCCAATTACGAGCTTGACTTACCTTATAATTCTTTCACTAATTTCTATATTTCCGAAGTGTTAAATAACAGTGGAAGTCCTATATAGGCTCGTGCGTGCGTGCGCTAACCTGTTGTCATAGATAAGTAGAGTTTAGGAAAGTAGAGTTTTTAAAGCAAGTGTTTTAATAGATCTTCGGTTTCCTCGTACGATTTCAACTGTAGTCATTTTGATATAACTTTCTTGCAGTCTCTATATCTTTTGGCGTATGTTTCTAATTTCTTATTAATTAAATTATACAAAAAGGCCGATCGTTTGTTGAATTGTCTGTTTGCAAATGCTGTATTTACTTTAGGTACTTGTAACACAATTTCTTTCCTTCTCCTCTTGAAATATTTAGATCGTATTTTAAAGACCTATGTTGTCTGAGTACAGTTTGAGTGATGTAGAGTTTCCTCACGGTGGCTAAATTTGATAGTTGATACAAACTGCTAGTGGAAAACATCTTTTTTAAAATACATTTTTTTAAGCAAATTACGTTGCGCACGTTCCAACTCAAGAAAACTAGTTTTAGCAGCTCCACCCCATACAGGAATACAATAAATCAATACAGATTTAACCAAACTCACGTACACTTCCTTGAGTATATCCCTAGACGACGAGACTAGCGGACCAGCGACTGAACCTGGCACTACATATCTTGGTGTTTTAAAAAACCAATTAACTTTTCTTACTCTCTTAATGACATGTTCGAGATGTGGATACCACGAGAGTCGCTGGGCTAATAACACACGAAGGCTACAAAGTGCTTGGTTTATATTAACTCCAAACTAATATCTAAGACCACTTTTCGCTGTAATACCTAACTGACTTTTTGTCTGTATTTGATGAGTAAAATCTACCGTGTCTTCCCGACTTCAAATAAGGAGGAGGTTCTCAATTCAAGTATTCAGTATTTTTTTGTGGTCACGCGATTACTCCGACAGTTCTGTGAACCGATTTCGATGATTCTTTTTTGTTATAAAGGGTGTACCTCATTAGTGGTCTCA